AGCCTGGCGTTCAGTTGCACAACTCTGAATGAGGGCAGTTGTTGACCTGCCAAAGCTAAGTATTGGAGATAATACACCAGCATGAAAAAAGAAACCACGTAGGTGGAAACTGCACTGTTATTTCTAGGAAACTCTTTAAACCAATCCTACAGGTCTTTCAGCATCAGCAGTGGTAGAGAAAGGATATGCCAATGGCAGGATGTGGTAGAAGGGACAAAGTAGCCACGTCAGGTCTTGCCACAAGCTCAGGATGTTATGCTTTTACACCTCAAAACTACACCATGAAAAGCAAATCTGACACAAGCAAGCATAAACTCTCACATGCTTATGCACACTTACAGAAAATACATCTCAACCACAAATATTTTCTACGATTTTTGACTGGTTGGATGATCACTTCCATAACAACTTCTTTGACGTACCATGTCAAAGAAAAAAATCCCGGGTGACATTTTTGCATGTTTTAACAAGGCATCGGTCTGTGCTGAGCCGGCTTATACAACTCTGGCCCTTGTGCTAGGAATAACACCATTGACTCTTGGGCAAAAACAAATCTAAAAGTTTGGGAGTTTGGGAACTCTCAGCAGCTGGCTTTCTCTAGCCTGCAGGGAAAGCCAACAACAAACAGCCTGGTACAGAGCAGAAAAATGTGGACTGTTTTGTTAAAATTGGTGCCTGACATACAGCAAGCGTCAGTGAAGTAACCACCCGGGTGTTATTCTGCAATTATGCTTGGTACCTATTGGCTAGATTACCCCTTCTTATTTCGGGTAAACTATTTGATCTCAGATCTCTAATAACAAAGAAAATCTCCTTGCTCATTAGCAGGTTATACTGCAAAACGGAGCAAGAGACCTTGTCATCTCCTTATTCCCTGGCTGAGCCATATGTTGCACAAACATCCCAAGAGAAAGCTCTGGGAAAAAGCCAGGCTTGGCTTGTTGAATGCACACGATTTCCAGTGGTTTTAAGGTGATATCATTCCTCCTCCTGCTTGGCCCCTGCTGTCTTGATGGGGGTCAGACTGTAAATGACACGATTTGGTTGCCACCGTGCTATGCTCTGCATTCCTCTGACTCCAAGGGAGAAAGTCTCTTCTTCCTTTCTCACCTGGCTTCAAATGGAAGTCTCATGAATGCTGTGGATTCAGTGCGTAGTTTTATAATTGTGGTTTTATTTGAATTGCCACAAAAATGTTGGGTGAGATTAAACACAAGCTTCTCCTTTTGAAGAGGTCTGTGCTTAATATGACTTTTACACCCTGTTTTCTCACTAACTTTTAATTTTTATCTCCTTTGAGTCTAGTTGCAACTCCAGCTCCTACACTGCAGTTGTGAGAGCCTTTCCTTGGTACTCTGCTAAGTGACATTTATGCATAAACTTTTGCTAATTGCTGATTCCATTGGCATTCATGAACCTATGCTGGAATGAATGAAGCTTTCATTCATGTTTATATATTAGTTTCCAACATTTGTATGTTTGTAATCATCAGGCTAAAATCAGCTTTCATTTGCAGAGATGTAAACTGAGGGTAACTGAGTCAGGAGATATACTCTATTATGTACATGGAAAGATTTTTTCGAGTATCATTGAAAGTTGAGTTTATCACAGAAAGTTCCTAATTCCATAACTCAATGTAGTCTGTTCAGGACTGGAAACTACGGTTATGGCTACACTAACAAGTGGTTTGGATCAATAGAAGTCAATCTCTAGAGCTCATTTTGTGCTGAGGACTTGACATAGGCACTTCTACAGGTCGCTGGGACTCTTAGTTCAGATAAACTCTAAGTTTGCTCCCGTGCACTAATGCTTTGTTACAGCTGCAGCTCACCTCCCAGGCTAGTTCTATCCAAAGAGAATCCAGGTCAGGACCTGCGGTGCCCTTCCTGATGCAAACCCGCACTCAGTAAGCGGGCAACAGTTGAGCATTGCCTGAAAAGCGCTCTCCTGATCTAACGAACAAATGCACTAACACAGACACACCCTATGCGTAAATTACAGAGACTTACACAATTAGAATATCTCTGTGGCAATCCCTAGCCATCAACAATTTTCCCAGCCATATAATTGCTACTATTAACAACACAAGTTCCCAATTTAACAAATGGAAGCAAGATAAATGCCCACATCGTTCTGGCTTCTTCCAGCTTTATGATTCAGAGTGTAGCAATCTGTTGCCCTTGGTCTTTTGGGATTAGTGCCCATGTGGTAATTTTAATGATAATGCAGCACTTCTTCTGGTCTGTTCTGGATATCTGGGGGCTTTGATTGCTTTATCACGGACGAGGTTCTGATGGTCAAGTGAATTGGGTCTATCATGCCCCAAGGACCTGCACCTTATTTTCTTCCACTCAGCTGCCCACCTCCTTCCCCACTCTTTACACTTAGCAACAGGTAACTCAGCATAGAAACCCGAAACTGAGGAGGGCACTTGAACAGCCTGGAATCGACCGGGACAGAAACCAAGGAGGTTTCTGGTGTAGCACCATGGGAGAGGATGGGTGGTAGGAAGAGGCGATGTGATACCTTGCTTAGATTTTCTGTGTCCTTTAGCATTGCTGCTATGTAGGGGAATGGCCGCAGCTGCCTACCTCTCCAATACCCTACCATCTTTTGGCATTGGCTCTGGATTGAATGCCTCCAGCACGGGAAACCAGGCTTCCTGCCTCCCTGTATTCGGAAATGTTATCAGTCCTTCCTTCATGTCTTGCTGTGCTGCTGCAAAAAAGCATCACCTGTGTGCATAGCCTTTTTATTATTATCCTTTATCCTCCTCTGAAACTGTTAACATGTTATTGCACATCAGCTGCTTCATAGAAACCATTTATGTACATGCTTTGAATCTCACTTGTCCCTGAAGTAAATGTAAATTATGTCAAGTAAAACTGCTTACACTTAGATAGCAGACAGAGCCCCAGACAAACAGTGGGCCAAGACACAGAAGGATGATATCACCTTAAAAACACTAATTACATGCATTCAACAAGCCTGGCCTTTTCCCAGAGCTGTCTCTGGGGACGTTTGTACTATGTATGGCTCAGCCAGGCAACAAGGAAAGGACAAGGTCTCTTGCTCCCTTTTGCTGTCTAACCTGCTAACGAGCAAGGAGATGTTCCTTGTTATTAGAGATCTGAGGACTGGATAGCAAACCGATGGCACTCGCTCATACAGTTTGTCCATGGTAAAAGAAGGACAGCTATAGTGTCCCAATCCTTGATAACGCTGGCTGCCCAGCAATACTGTTTTGAGTAGTTCTCCTTCAGGAGTCCAATCTTCCAGATGGGAACAGTTTCTGTAAGCAGTTTTTTCATATGGGCCACGCAAAATGCTCCAAAAAAAAAAAAGGTCAAAATAACTGATAATGTTTTTACACAATGACTAAACAGATGTTGAACTGTAGCTTTTGAAAAGGTGATACATTCACACAGCTTAGTCCTGTTCACAGTATCTGCACACACATCCCATTACAAAGCGATATGCAAATTCATCGATAAGCAATAACACAGGACTGCTGCTCAGATTTGCACAAGTCCTTTGTACAGGATAATGCACTTGCAAATACAAATATCCCTCAATCAGTGAGAAATTCTGAAAAGGTGATACTCTTCCAGTTTGTTTTTAGGCCAAATCTATCAGGACCTGAGATTACTAAAGCCTTAGTCATTATAATTACAATGAGGAACAACTTCAGTCAACTTTAGCTACAATTTCAGCTTCCTCAGACTGCCAGCTGTATCTTGACAAAGTTTATAACTGAAGGTTAAAGCTTACTTCGTTCAGAAAAATCAAGAAAGACTGGGGTGCTAGAAAAGTCTGTGATCACACACATGAGAAAATAAGGCACAACCTGGTTTATTCAGCTTCATGCAGGTCACGTGATGTAATTAATTCCAAATGGTTTTGGTCTCTGTACAGAAACTTCCAGCAAAAGATTTAAACGATGTGATAATTACCTTTTTCCTTTCATGATCCTTCTGACTATGCCTTAATTCATGATGCTTTTAACTAGCATACATGTATCCTGAGGCTATGATGGGTGCACATTTATTTAAGTCAAAAGATAAATCTTAATGAAAGGTTTTTTTAACACAATAATTAACGTATTTTGATCACCATAACAGTAATTATTAGGGCACAAAAACAGAATCAGATCTCAGCAGAAGCCATGAAGATCCTAAATAGGGTGGAGTACCAGCACTGCCCTATTATTTTGCCAAGAAATGATACATCAAAGTGGCAGCAGTGAATCATCGTACACTACTAGGAACTACACCCAGTAAATCCAAGAGATGGAAATATTAGATGCGCTAACCTCCATCATAAATTGCAAATTATAATCACACAGCAGATAGTGTGCAATATGCCTTTTCTCATAGTTATCAAGCTATGCTCTCCTTATGCCTCCCCCAACACGACTGCTCATCAGATTAAACAACGAAACCGAAGAACCACAAAAACACAGGAATTTTGGCTTGATATTAAAGGTCCATCTATTTTTAAGAACACAGTTTTATTTTGTGAAGGATTATAAGCTCTCACCACATGTCAAATAACACAACTGGGCAGCCCTGTTCTCTTAGAAATCTCTTTAAAAGAAAAAATCACCTTTTTTATGGGATTATACACACCATGAGAGGCAAGGCCACCAATGCACAGAGCACACCCACTCTTACCTGCTGTCATCCTCCCCTTAGTAGAAATGACTAGTATTCTGATTTTCTGCCCAGCTGCTAAATCAATGTGGCCATACACATGCGCAGGCAGACTGTAACTTGCAGCCAGCCCTTTTGCAATGACACAAAGTAAAGAAGTCAAACAAAACTGAAAGCATTTAAAAAAAAGGTCCTGCTCATCTTTCCCCTGTGTCAGATGCACTTTAAGAATTAGTTTCCCCAAACTAAAAAAGTTTAACAATATACAAGGGGACCTTATATAAAAGAAGATGCCAGCAAAATGACAGGAATAAAGAGTTCCTTAAAGAAAAGGATATAGTACGGTACCTTTTCCAGTCAAAGTTTCTTCTTGTATTTTCCTCACCGCTTTTTGGCCCTCACTCTCGCTGTTTCCAGCTGTTACAATACAGAAAATGGAAAATTAGCGATGCAATCAACTTAAGGACAGTGAATTTAAGCATGGCACTATGAAGGGCTAACCACAGTAAAACAAGTAGGAAGTTTTAGGCGAAAAGGGGTGATTCGTTACTGTCAGGCAGCAGAGGTTTTCGAAGAGGGCTGTACAAATGCACTGCTGTTCACACGAGTTCTGCCCATTTATCTCATTTATTCATACAAGATAGGACCATCTACTGGCTGGACCAGCAGAATTGAGATGCGAATCTGTGAGCCAAGTGAATTATATCACATCCAGATTCTACAAAAGCTTCACTATAGGTTAGAGCAGACCTCCCCTCGGCTCTTTTTCCAAGATGAAGTCTTCCACAGTTGAAGGAAAGGCCCCACTACCCTGGCCCAAATGCTCAGGAAAAGTTTTACTGGTGCTAACATAAAATGTGATTAAGCATCAAATAAATGCCTTTTGTACAGTTCAGCTTAGGTGGACAGTTAATAATTGTCTCACATTTGTTTGGCAATTTTTTTATAATAACTTTTATGAAAGGAAAAAACACAAGAACAAGCAAAATATTGTGCTTGATAGTACAAGTTAAATTTTTTAAATGAAGTTTAACATTCCATTTATCCACAAACATCCACAAACATTTTCCATAGCATGACACATCAAAATACCTGTTGTTTATTATCTAAATTGGCTATAAATACTGATATCTCTCATGAACTTCATGAAGTTGTCTTCTTCTTTTCCTGATTATATAAACCTCTGCCTTGGTTTCTATACAGGCTTTATCTTGTGCCCCTCTACAAGTGTCCTGTCTTCTCATTCAATTGTTAGCTATGCAGCAGAAATGTCAGGTTTTCCACTTTTTTTATCACTTTTTTTTTAGTAACAGTGAAGCAGTTCTATCAAAGACAAGGAAAGAATTACAGCGTCACAGAATAAGTTCAAGTTGGAAGCAACCTCAGGAGGTCATCTGGTTCAACCTCCTGCTCACATTAGTTGGTAGGTGCTTGTATTTACTTTAGGATGTTAGGACATGCTTTATAGTGCTATTAAACTGGATTCATTTGATCTCACAGAGAATGTGTTCAAAAAGTGGGAGGAAGCCCTCTGAGATCGATCATGTCTCATCCATCAGCTGCATGAGCTGAAGGCTTAGAGCACTGAATGGAAATTTTTGGGACAACCTGACCACTTCGAGGAGGTAGGCTAATGCATTCTTTGGAAGATGGAGGTTTTGCTGTGCTTCTGCAGTAAAAAAAAAAGATTTGCAACACATCTTTGTTTTTAGGATATGCAAGAAGACTCAATATTTACATAAATGTAGCCAAAATAAAGACATTTAGCGTTGCAGATACTGGAGAGAAAATAATTCTCACATAAAACCTAGAGTCATATTGGTCTAAAACTGTTCTCTATAAATTCCATTAACTATGGAATTATATTGCTCAGACTGACGAAGAAAGAAAGAAAATAAAAAAAAAAACCCAAAGCAGACTTTTGCAGTATTTTCTTCTTGCTGTTGGTTTTTTTTCCCCTTTAAAACCATCCAGCCTTGTACAGAACAGAAACATTCAGCTTGATCCTAATTTCCAGATACAGATGCAGCATCAACAAACAAACCATCCAGTGAAACTGCCATTTCTGGGGAAATCTGTGCACAGGGGTTATGGGCAATGGATCAGTCTTCCTCACTGTTTCACCTCAAGTGATGTACTAGAGTAAGATTTCAAACTCAGTGTGTTATTATGCCAGATAGAGTTAAGCTAGAAACAAAAATACTTTGGTGCCAATTCTGTGAAGGTCTTATTTGATTCCTCTTTCATTCAGCACTCCTCATGCAGAGAAGAGGCTTATTAAAGCCTCCAGTGTCTTGATTTAACTCTCAGTATGTTCACTTAATTTGTTCTTTTAAAAGAGTTTGTGTTCACAACAAATTTTAATTTGCTTTATTTTGCTGTTATATAAATGGTTATTCATTAAAGCTCAGTGCCTTCCAAATGAGCTTATTTTATTCATATTTGCATATTTTTCACTCTAGTCCACTGGGAAAAAATAATTATTTTGCTAAACAGTCACTTCAAATGTCTGTTTCCAGCCTGATTCAACAGAGAGTTTGAAAACCAGATTCTGGAGGCTGGAGTATCGCAAAATTGAAAAAGCCTCAGCGAAAGCCGCTACTGTAATAGAGGCTTTTGAAATACTTCTTTCAAAGAAAATCAGTAAGAAAGAATAAAGACATTGAAGAAATGACCAAAATCTTTATAAAGAGTTCAAAGACACATATATCAGAAAGATACCGTAAGACTGGGAGAGTAATCTACGCTTCTGAGTTAGCTTAAAGAGATCAGCATCCCCTTGCTGAGGATGGGTAGGAGAGGAAAGGGACATTGCACTGTCGTACTGCTTCTCTCCTAGTACATCCTTCTGGGATCCTCTAAGCAAAGTGAGCGGTAGGCATGAAAAAGAACAACCCTCATTTAAGTGCTACGTTAATTATTCAAAATTCAAAAAATACTTTTAAAGTCACCAAGCTAACACAATCAGCTTCAGGTTGGGAAAAATCAGAAATAATTTGTATTTTCTTGATGACGATGGGTCACTAAAGGGCACAACCTTCAAGTGTACTGAACAGGAGTACAGCACTCTAAACTAAGGAGGGGGACAGTTTCCTATACGAGGGTCAAATTCTTACCACCGTCAGCTGGTTTAGATCCTCAGTAGCATATTGGTAGTGATTCTTTAGAAAACTTTGTGATACACAGGAGAATCCTCTGGCTGGACTTTTTGCCAATGATTCACCATACTTTTCATACGTTCGACATGCCAGAATTTATCCATGCCAGGATTTATCCATTTCAAGCGCTAAAGCATCTGTAGCCTAAGATCTGCCTACTCTGGATTCAAGTGGTCTGGAGGGAAGGATAAGAAAGGGAAGACAGACTATGGTTTTTTATGCGGTGAGGGAATCTGGGCAAAAGCTTTGAGAAAAAGGGACTCAATGTCTTGAGAGCTTAGATCATCAAAGTACCCAAAACCATAATAATCTTGCTTTTCATGCTAATTTAAAGTGTCTATTGGGAACTCAAAATAGATATAGTTGTCTCAAGCAACTGTATCTGTTTATGCAAGCTGTTCAGTGCCCTATCTGATGTTTTTCTTCTACTTAGTCCCCACAGAATAGTGAAAAATTCAGGTGAGACTGATTCAATAACAATGTTGACTACAAGAAATTCTGAAAATAAAACTAATAACATAAAAATACATTCAAGTCTGAATGGATGCACCTGTATAAAATAAGATGTCATTTTAATGGCATGAAAAATTCTAATTCTTAGTAAAATACTGAAACTCATGTTGGAAAAAAAGATGTAAAATACTTTTAAATACAACTTTTAGTCAAAAAATTGACTCTCCTCTTCAACATTCATCAACACAAACGCCACAAGTCAAAGCACGTTGATCTAAAGCCACCACAGAAGTACATAGAAAAATTCTTATCAGCAGCAATAGGCTTTGGATCTTACCCTAAAGGTCAGGCTCTGTCATCTTAATCACTTAAGTAGATCCTAACTCCGAAAGTTATTTCAGGGATTTCAACAGAATTATCACAGAGGATTGCTCAGCCTGAATAAGGATGGCAAAAACACAGCCCATAGAAACCCAGCACAGCTGGGAAACATTTACACTATCGCTAGTTAAGGGGTCCTGATACATCTATATGTATTCTTTATACAGTATTTTAATTTCTTTGACTGTGAAAATCTCTCCAAAAGAATAATTACTACTCATGCTCATAATTTATGTACAAAATTGATCCTGATAAAAAAGCAAGATCTCTTCTAATTGGTGTTTGGCAAAAATCGGAATTTGCAATCTTGACGTTTCAAGGGAACGTACTGCAGGGCATTATAAAGAAATTTAAAATAGTCTATGAACAATGATACAGCCCGTAAAGCTTAAGGCTGCCTGGAGAGAATAAACCCACAAATCCAAAAAGCCCTCGCTTACCAAAGTTACCAGGGGGAGAATTTCCCGACTTTCAGCAAGGTAACACAAAAAGGAAACACAAATACTTTTTGAGAGGAACACCGAGAAGAGGCAAACCACCCAGGACACGGTGGTCCAGAGGAACACCCAACCCCTCCAGCCTGGAGCTCGAGAGCCACCCTGTGCACCAAGGCACCCCTCAGCCTGCGATAAACCCTGCTGCGGCAAACCCCGGGAGGGGAGGCAGGGGCGAGCCGCCCGGCGGCAGGGCAGCCGTGCCGGCACATTGCCTCCCAGCCCTCCCCACACACCCCAGCCTCTGGCAAGTGCGACCCCCTCATTCACCAGTGCCTGGGGAAACCTGCCTACCTGAGATAAACGCTCATCCCTTGTCTTATTTAGCCGTAATTACACATCAGTTAATCCCTGAAACGATGAACAACTTTCCAGGGTTCTCAGCCTGCCCCATGGCCCTCCTCACTCCCCCCGATCATTTCAAGTAACCCGAGTTTAGAAGCGGTGCCCATGAACTCTAATGCATATGTGTATTACCAAGAGAAGCTTGGTGGTATGGTAATAAATTCTATATAAATGTATACCACCTGATGAAGGAATTGCAGGGGGTGATGGTTAGGTGTCTTTGTGCAACAGAATATAAAAAAGATTCCAACTGGAAATTTTAATTAAGGTGCCTCCTCAGAGTAGCATAATCCTCATTATGATTGAAGGGGAACTGATTTCATTGGAGTGCCAGCCTGAAGACGGGGCTTGCAAGGGCACCCAAAGCCTCAAGAAAAAAACCAAAGTCCTATCAGCTGGTGTTATGAGGATTATGATTTTGTGAGTGGGCATGGCACTGCATAACAAATAGCATGTGCCTAAGAGAGAGGAATGACTGCCCCCAAAAAGCTCTGAGGATGAGAAATTTGAACTCAGTACAATATGAGTGTTTTTTAAAGAAATTGATAATGACTTTAATAAAAAAAAATAAATCTTGTTTAGGAAA